TTGAAGTTAGAATTCATTTAGGACTATTCCAGGTTAAGAAATCTTGGTGTAGGCAGTTTCTCTTCAGACCCTTCTCCTGTCCACTCTGTGGTCTGATCCAGTTCCACCCAAGGGTGAGTCTCAAATAAAGCCTCATTTATCAGTCTTTTTAAATCTACCTCCTTTGGTCACCACCCGCCTTGCCTGATCTCACAACCCCTTTTTAAATAAACCCTGCTTCATAAAAAAAGAAGAAACCTTGGTGTAGTAGTTGTGACCTTCTGAAGGTCACCATTGAAAGGGTCATCCAAGCACAGTCATGGAATTATTTGGTTATAAAAATGATTGTTGGCACATCCTCGGCAATATCTAAATTGAATAATAGTACCAGGTAAATCATAGATGGAAATAAAGCTTGTGTATCATCATGTGTAATCAATAATGATTTAATTCTCTTGAGAAAAAAATATCAATAGTTTTCTAAACATCAGTAATAAATCTGCTAGGAAATCTGGAAAACTTTTTCATCCACAATAACTTACAAAACAACAAAACTTGGGAATAATTCTAGTTAAGGAGGTGAAAGACTTCTCTCTTTTTCCCCTACATTTTTTATTGGTGCATTATAGTTGTACAAACTGATGGGATTTGTTGTGACATATTTGTACATGCACACAATAAACACTTCTATGATGAAAACTATAGAACACTGAAGAATGAAATTTGAAGAAGACCTTAGAAGATGAAATACCCTCCTTTCATGTTCTTGAATAGACAAAATTAATAATTGTTAAATTGACTATATTACCAAAAATGATGTACAGATTCAGTGCAATCTCCATCAAAATACCAATGAAATTCTCCACAGAACTAGAAAAAAAGTTCCTAAAATTCATATAGAAGAATAAAAGACCAAGAATAGCCAAAACAATACTGAGCAAGAAGAATGATGCTGGAGGCATCACAATGCCTGATCTCAGATTATACTAGAGCCATAGTAACAAAACAACATGGTGGTGGCATCAAAACAGACATTAGACCAGTGGAATAGATGACAAAGACAAACCCACATAGGTACAATTATCTGATACTCTGACAAAGTTACCAAAATATACACTGAAGAAAGGATAGCCTTTTTAACAAATGGTGGATATCCAAATGTAGAAGAATGAAATTAGATTCCCATCTCTCACCCTGCACAAAAGTCAACTCAAAGTGGATCAAAGACCTAATAGTTAGACCAGACTTTGCAACTGCTAGAAGAAAATATAGGGTCAACACTCCCATCATATAGGTGCAGGCACCAACTTCCTTAACGAGACCTCTAAAATTCAAGAAATAAAATCAAGAATCAATAAGTAGGATGCCATCAAACTAAAAAGCTTCTGTGCAGCAAAAGAAATAAGAACATGAAAAGAGAGCCTACAGAATGGGAGAAAGTCTTCACTAGCTACTCCTCTAACAGGAGATTAATGTCTAGAATATACAAAGAATCAAAACTTAACACCCCCAAAACCCAAATAACATAATTCATAACTAAACAGACATTTCTCCAGAAATACAAATAAGTGGGAAAAATGATTGACCTTTTTAGCATTTGGAAAATGCAAATCAAAACTACTTTGAGGGGCAGGGGTTGTGGTTCAGTGGTAGAGCGCTTGCCTAGCATGCGTGAGGCATTGGATTCAATTCTCAGCACCACATATAAATAAATGAATAAAACAAAGGTCCATCCACAACTATAAAATTTTAAAAAAACTACATTGAGATTTCATCTCACTCCAGTTAGAATGGCAGTCATCAAGAATACAAAAAATAGTCAGGTGCAATGATGCACGCCTGTAATCCCAGCATCTCAGGAGGCTGAGGTAGGAGGATCATGAGTTCAAAGCCAACCTCAGCAAAAGTGAGGCACTAAAAGACTCAGTGAGATCCTGTCTCTAAAATACAAAATAGGGCTGGGATGTGGCTCAGTGTTTGAGCTCTGAGTTCAATCCCTGTTACCAAATAATAATAATAATAATAATAAATGCTGGTGAGACTGTATGTAAAAAAATATGCTTATACATTGTTGGTGGGACTGAAAATTAGTACAAGCACTTTGGAAAGCAATATGGGTAATTTCTCAAAAGCTAAGAATAGAACCATCATCTGACCCATCTACCCTACTTCTTGGTATTTATCCAAAAGAAATAAAATCAAAATACTGGAGTGATACAGACATATCAATCTTTAAGGCAGTGCTGCTTAAGATAACCAAGTTTTGGAACCCGTCCAAATGTCCGTCAGCAGATGAATGGATAGAGAAAATATATATGCACACAATGGAGTTTTACTCAGCCATAAAGAAGTATGGAATTATGACATTTGCTGATAAATGGACAGAACTGAAGCATATTATGCTAAGTGAAATAAACCAGACACAGAAAGTCAAAGGTGGAATGTTTTCTCTTGTAAATGGAAAGTAGAGTGAAATAAGGAAAAAGAGGGGCAGGGAGATCCCATGAAAATAGAAGAGATCAGTGGAGTAGAGAAAGGGGTTGACGAGGAGGCAGGAGGAACAGAGGAATAACTACAGAGTAAAATTGACCAAATTTTCCTGTGTACATATATGAGTGTACCACGGTGAATTCCACCTTTATCTATAAAGCACCAACTTAAAAAACAATAGATAAGTAAATAGAAGGAAGACGAGTAGAGGAATAGGAACAAGGGGAGAGAAAGTGGAGTTCTAGGGATTGACATGGAGCAAATTATGTATGAATGCATATATGAAACCCACTGTTATATGTAACTATAATGCACTAATACAAACTTTTTTTTTAAATGGGAAATTTCTCGAAGAAAAGTACTTCACATGCTGAGTATACCTTCCCCTCATTCCACTCACTCATTAGTCTATAGGGACTAATTTGTGAGCCAAAAAAAGTTTAGTAATTTGACGAATTATTTTGTTATTGGTAAGAATCTTTCAGATCTCAGATTTTAGCAATGTACAGAGTTTGAATATCTGTGGCCAATTAGCTGTTGATATCTTCCATTAGATTTTTTAAATTACAAGTATTATTCTATATATAATGCTAGACACTCAAATGAGCTGACACTAAACATTTTCAAACTAAGATTACACTAACATAGGGATTGTACCCATAAATGGATAGGTCAGGAAGGTGAGGTAATAATCTATTAAGTGATTTTCTGAGTACATATCTACCTACTTTATTTCAGGGGTGGAACCACACATTAGAACTCAAAAACACTTGAATTTTACTACTTATCTGTAATAGTCGGTGCTTTGTGATTTTATATATTATATATATATATATTTTTTTTTGGGGGGGGGGTACTGAAGATTGAATTCCAGTAGTGTTTACCCCTGAGCCACATCCCCAGGCCTTTTTTATTTTTTTAATTTCAAGACAGGATCTTAGTAAGTTGCTTAGCGCCTCAGTCAGTTACAGAGGCTAACTTCAAACTTGCAATCCGCCTGCCTCAGCCTCCCAAGTTGCAAAAAGTCTTGATCTTCAAACTAATTTTGTAAACCTACCAATCTGTTAATTAACATTTACTTTGTAATTTATATGCAGAGCATTGTTTAGTTGCTGGAGAGAATAAAAGAAGTAGATAGATGTTCTCACTGACTGCATAGAAGACACTGTTAGGATGACTAACTCAAAATCTACATCCCATGAGCTGGGGTTGTGGCTCAGTGGTAGAGTGCTTGCTTAGCATGCATGAGGCACTGGGTTCAAGCCTCAGCACCATATAAAGATAAGTAAATTGAAGATATTGTGGCCATCTACAACTAAAAAAAATTTTTTTTTAAATCTACATCCCACAGTAATCCTTGAAACCAAATTTCATGGCACTTGGGAGTAAAGGTTTTTATTGTTTATTTTTTAATAATTTCAGGTTTTTAAATAGAAATTCTTAGTCATAAATAGAATTGTTTTCAATCCATTGTATGAACTAATTTTAAAGTTGCCCTTTTTTCTCTATTTTTAGTTTAATACAGTTTTTTAGTAAAATGAAGAAGTGGATGGACATGTCAAATCTGCCACAAGAATTTCGTGAACGTATAGAAAGGCTAGAGAGAAATTTCGAAGTGTCTACTGTAATTTTTAAAAAATTTGAGCCAATATTTTTAGATATATTTCAAAATCCATATGAAGAGCTACCAAAGTTACCACGAAGTAGGAAGCAGAGGTGAGACCCATAATTCTTATGTAATTGATATAAAGATTACTATAAAAACATGTTAGGAAAGTTTACCCTTTCAAAAGTCTGCATTTTACCAAAAGTATCCATGTGCAAAGACTTATTATTTCTTTTTAAATCCATGTATCCATAACTGGAAATTCATGGTAGTACTTTTATATATTTTTCTATATTGTGAATGGAATTTTACATGTATTTTGACCTTAGTATATATGTATATATGCTATTTCAAAAAAATGATTCTCGGTATCAGACAAAAAACAAACACAAAAAAAAATAACATTTTTTTTCTCTTTGTAGGAGGATTCCTTGCAGTGTTAAGGATCTCTTTAATTTCTGTTGGACACTCTTTGTTTATACTAAGGGTAAGGTGATACAGTGGTTTTATATTTCTTCCATGAGAACTTTGGTATATTTGACAAGAGAGGTATCTGGTTTTTTTTGTCTTTTTTTTTTTTTTCTTATAAAGGTAATTTTCGTATGATTGGGGACGATTTAGTAAACTCTTATCATTTACTTCTGTGCTGCTTGGATCTGATTTTTGCCAATGCCATTATGTGCCCCAATAGACGAGACTTGCTAAATCCATCTTTTAAAGGTAAGGTCTTTTCCTTTTTTGAAAACTAATTGTTACTTTTTGAAAAAAGAGTTTTAACACTTAACTGTTTCTGCCCCCTTTTCCCCGCTTCTCTTCATACTTCATCAAACCAGGTTTACCATCTGATTTCCATACTGCTGATTTCCGGGCTTCTGAAGAGCCTCTCTGCATTATTGCTGTACTATGTGAACTACATGATGGACTTTTAGTAGAAGCAAAAGGAATAAAGGAGCACTACTTTAAACCATACATCTCAAAACTCTTTGATAGGAAGGTACCGTACTTATTATTAAATGACTAAGGTGTTTAGGGTTCAGCAGCAGCCTCAAAGGAAAAAGTGTTCTCACTTTTGTAGGACTCAGGGTCAAGATTCCCCCATTTTAGTCTTTGCTGTGATGCACAGTTGCCCTCTGGTCTTTTTTTTTTTTTTTTTTTTTTTTTTTTTTTTTTTTTTTTTTTTTATAGTTTTAGTTGTAGATGGACACAGTACTTTTATTTACTTTTATGTGGTGCTGAGAATCGAACCCAGTGTCTCATACATGCTAAGCAAGCCCTGTACCACTGAGCTACAACCCCAACCCCTGCCCTCTGGTCTTGTGTGATATGACAGACTGAGCTTATGAAAAATGTACTGTCAATTAAGCCACTGTCAGGAACAACTCTAGCAGATTCTGCTAAAAAAAAAAAAAAAAATTCTGAAGAATAGATTATCAGAGTTGGCGTGATAAAAGATTTATAAAATACAGGAAGTCAGAGTAAACTGACTGATTTTACTGCCATAATTTGAATAACCACTGTTACTCAAAGTAGCATAATATGTAACAACTATCTCTTTAATTCCAGTAAATAGACAGAAATTCTGGTATATTTTAGAGCCATCTGTAGGCCACATACCTATATGCATTCTGGAGTATTTTTCTTCACTAACTTGACTTAGTTATTAACTTAGCTAATTTTATACTTTTAAATTAGCTTCTTTGGGGAAGAATCTCAGTTTCTTATTTCTCCAACGTCAAGCCACCATATAAAATCACAAGCTAAACTTTGTGATTTGTTTTTGAGGAAATTGAGGTATTTGAATTAAGATATCTCTGTGGTCCTCCACTTTATGTGTATAATGAGATTTTCATTTTTTTAAAGTATGAAGTCTTCCTTAACTGGCTCTTCTTCCTCACATATACTTTCATCATTTAGCCTTAGCTTTCATCCATATGTTATGGCCCCTTGTCTCTGTGTTGAATACTCCAGCAAAGTATACTTTTAAAGGAACCAGGGATTACGTCTAATAGACTCCACAGGAGCAGTACACTAGTGCCCCTACGTACAATGACATTACATTATGGTTTGTCTGGACTATCTGGTGTTTGGCTGTGTCTTGGCATAATTATTATGGCACCTCCTTTCATTCCAAAAGTGAAACCATCATCGAAACTATTATGCTCTTTGGATGTTGGGCCTCCTGATCTTGGGTCACATGTTTTGTTTGACCTTTGTACAATTTTGTTTTTATTTTGTTCGATTTTTAATTTAAATATTAAGACCTTTTATATGAAAAGCAAATCAGAAACTAGGTCAATACTGTGTTAAAATTTCTACATGGCTAGCTGTCATCAAATTAAATGATGGCCACCACTTTTCGGTTAGGCAGTGTGTGTTCAACTCTCTATTCACCTATATTGAACCCTGATTCTTGAAGGCATCTGAGCTTGCACACTCTCATGTATAGAAATTTTTAGTGTGGTTACAGAAAATATTAATAACAATGTAGTTTTCCTTTCTCACCAGCAAGAGGAACCTGTATTTCTTTTGAATCTTTTACTCACTTGAAACACTTAATCATCAATAAATGTTAATTTCCAGTCTCAGATTAAGAATAGACAGCTTTCATCAGAATCACTCAGGGAGTTTGTCAGAAATACCACCTTAGCTGAGATATTAAAGTCTATCCATCTCCATTTATAACAGGTTTTCCCCGAAGTGATTCTTTTTCTTTTTTTAAAGTGCATTTTAGTTGTAGGTGGACATAATACCATTATTTTATTTTTATGTGGTGCTGAGGATCGAACCCAGTGCCTTACGCATGCCAGGTGAGTGCTCTATCTCTGAGCCACAGCCCCATCCCCCACTAAGTGATTCTTATATTGCTGCATTTTGGAAAGCACTGCCATAGATTAACCTCAAAGTATTTTCAAAACCTATCTACTTATTTACTTACCTATTTATTATTTATTTTACAGTGCTAGAGATAAAATTTGACTTTAAATTTTTAAAAACCATTTTATTTGTTTACTTAGTAGGTCTTACTGCTCCAAAAGAAATGTTTGGTAATTCTCTTTGTGGGTATGGCATATTATTGTGAAGATTTAGAGAGATTTTATGTTTTTTAAATGTTAAAAATCTTTAATTTTATTATATGATGTACAAATTTTTTTTTCTTCACAGATTTTAAAAGGAGAATGCCTCTTGGACCTTTCCAGTTTTACTGATAATAGGTAGGTATCTAGCACTAATGGTGTTGGGCATGGGACAGCCTGACAGTGATATCAAAGCTGTGAAAATTTGTCAAGTGAAACATTATATATCAAGGTCACCTTCAGAATCAAATTCCTTCTGTTTTAATAGCACTGAATGGTGGTATCACTAAGTCTTTCTGACTTTAAGTACATTTAAGAACCATTGACATTTGAAACAATTGTACTCTGCCGAGAACCTCATGAATGAGCCCATGACTTCCATATCTGATTTTACATTCTTTCATATCAATGTTAGCAAATTCAGAATGACCACATTTCAAAGTCTCTGTTTCTTTAGTGACCAGATATTCTTTTTCTTTTTTTTTCTTTTAATATTTTTAGTAGTAGATGGACATAACTTTTATTTTATTTAATTATTTGCGTATTTTTTATTTTTATGTGGTGCTGAGGATCAAACCCAGTGCCTCTCACGTGCTAGGCAAGCATCCTACCACTGAGCCACAACCCAAGTTCCAGATATTTTTTTTCTTTACCTAGCTTCTTTTAGCTTCAACTGGTTTACAGATTAAGTATATATACTCTTTCCATACTTTTTTTAAATTAATTTATTGCAAAGTTAATAAAACCCAAGAAGTTATTAGCTTTCCCAAGCTATGAACTTAAGGATAAATCTATCCTTAAGATTAGATAATCAAGGTTGGGGATTTAGCTCAGTGGCAGAGCTCTTGCCTAACATGGAAAAGGCTCTGAGTTCAGTCATTAGCCCTGGGCGGGTGGGGGGGACTAGATAATCCATTGTATAACTTAGTTTTATTCTAGCAGCTTAAAATAATTCTCTTTCCAGCAAAGCAGTGAACAAAGAGTATGAAGAATATGTTCTAACTGTTGGTGACTTTGATGAGAGGATCTTTTTGGGAGCAGATGCAGAAGAGGAAATTGGAACGCCTCGAAAGTTCACTGGTGACACCCCATTGGGGAAACTGACAGCACAGGCTAATGTGGAGTATAACCTTCAACAGCATTTTGAAAAAGTAATATAACCTAGCCTGATCTCAGTCTTGAATGATCTTTTTCTTTCTCTGTGTGATTCTACTAACAGCAGAAGCATCTTTCAAGTTAAATCTTGAATTTCTTCTACTAATTCATATTTCCCATGAAAGCCTTAAAAGGTAATTTTAAAAACTATGACATTTAATATTTTTACCTTGTTTCTTGCTGTTAATCATATTTTGAATATTTTCCCAGCATACCTGGGTTTATCATTATATTGTGTGGTCTTTTGACATAAAGAGAAATTTATGCTTTCTTACCATTTTTTTCTTTGCTTCAGCTTAGCCTCTGTCACATTGCTTTAAAGTTTTATTTACTTTCCTACCTATGATACAAACATGCTTTTCTCCGGTTTTAACTGTATAACTCTAGAAATGATTGTTAATTCTGTATTTATGTGTGAAATGGGTAGGAAGATAAAGTCTAAGGGAAAATTCAGTCATCTAGAAGATTGAAACCTGTTTTAATCCAAACTATACTATTAACTTTGTTTTTTAAGAACAAAAGTTTTCTTATTCAGGACAGTTGTCAAGTTGACAGTTAATATTTTTCTTAGCTTAAACACATTTTTTAACTTCTATACCTGTTTCCTCACATATAAAATTGAAATATGTGAATGTTCTGGGCTGGGGTTATGGCTCAGTGATAGAGCACTCACCTAGCACAGGCAAGGCCCTTGGTTCAATCCTCAGCACAACATAAAAATAAATAAAATAAAAGTATTGTGTACAACTATAACTAAAAAATAAATAATTTTTAAAAATATGCATAGGTTATATTTCAAATGAGTTTTATGAAGATAAAATGTTATAGAAAGTGCTTTGAAAAAGTATTATTCAAATGTATAATTCAAACTCAGACATTGTTAGCATAGTATGGCTAAAAATTTGGTGGGTAAGCAAAAAAAGCAGGAAAAGTAAGCCTACTAAATATGAATAATAAAGATGGTATATGTACTGAACTAAATATAATAAGGAGGAAAGTAACTTTTTAATCTCACAAGTTTTTTTTTGTTGTTTTTTTTTTTTTTAACAGAAAAGAACATTTGCACCTTCTACCCCACTGACAGGACGGCGATATTTACGAGAAAAAGAAGCCATTATTACTCCTGTTGCTTCAGCTACCCAAAGTGTGAGCCGTTTACAGAGTACTGTGGCTGGACTTAAAAATGCACCAAGTGAACAACTTATAAATATTTTTGAGTGAGTACCATACTGTGATTTTTCTAAATGTCTTTTTTAAAATTAAATTTTTTATTCCATTCTGTTTTTAGTATAGTCAGAGATGGCGAATATACCTCTGGCACCTTTTTCTGTATCATTTCAGTCTGAAAATATCTTAACCTAAAACCAGATAGTTACCTACTAAAAATTTCATGTAAATATAGTGAGGCCCCGTGGTGCATGCGTGTAATTCCCGCTACCAGGGAGGACAAAGCAGGAGGATTGCAAATTTGATGTCAGCCAGGATAAATTAGCGAGACCCTATCTTAAACAAAAAAATTTTGGACTGGGAATTTAGCTCAGTGTAGAGCATTTGCCTAGCATTTATAAGTTTCTGGATTCAATCTCCAGTACTCCCCATCTCTCCCAAAAATAAATAAATAAAAATTTTTAAGAAGAGCTGAGGGGCTGGGTTATAGCTCAGCAGTACAGTGCTTGCCTTACAGGTGAAGCACTGGGTTGAATCCTCAGTACCACATAAAAATAAATAAAATAAAGATATTGTATCCATCTTTTTTTTTTTTTTTTTAGTTTTAAGTGGACACAATATCTATTTTTATGTGGTGCTGAGAATTGAACCCAGTGCCTCATGCATGCCAGGCGAGCACGCTACCTCTTGAGTCACATCCCCAGCCCCTATTATGTCTATCTTAAAAAAAAATAAAAGAAGAAGTACAACAACAACTGAGGATATAGCTTAATGGTAGAGTACTTATCTAGCATTTATCAAAAACAATAACAAAACTATATGTTTATATATTTATATCAGTATATATGTGTGTATAAATATTATTTCATGGGATTATAGAATTTGAAGTATATCTTTTTTAATATTTTAGTTGTAGATGGACACAATACCTCAATTTTATTTATTTTATTTTTATTTTATATTTATTTTTTAGTTTTAGGTGAACACAATATTTTTATTTTATTTTTATGTGGTGTTGAGGATCGAACCCCATGCCTCACACACGCTAGGCAAGCACTCTGCCACTGAGCTACAGCCCCAGCCTCCCTATTTATTTTTATGTGGTGCTGAGGATCAAACCCAGTGCCCCACACATGCCAGGCAAGTGCTATTCCATTGAACCATAACCCCAGCCCCTCAAACTTATTCTTGAAAGGAGAAATGTTAGTTGTCTGGGTTTTTTCCCTGGTAATTGGGTTTCTATTATATGTTATAGATCTTGTATGCGGAATCCTAAGGAAAACATTATGAAAATAGTAAAAGGAATAGGAGAGACTTTCTGCCAACACTATACTCAATCAACAGATGAACAGCCAGGATCTCACATAGGTAAGAAAAGTGAAGTTGGCACAATATTGAAAATAGATTGTTCTCAAAATTAGAAATTCAAGATTTTTACTTTTCTGTTATTTTTTTCTTTTTCTTTTTCTTTTTTCCTTTTTTGCAGTGCTAGTAATTGACTCTAGGGCCTCATGTATGTGAGACAAGTGCTCTCTTACGAGCTACACCTGCTGCCCTTAATATACCAGATTCAAGTTTATATAAATTTTATTCTTTAGTCTAGATTGTAATAGCATGTGTTCTTCCTTTGTTTCCCTTTAGACTTTGCTATAAACAGACTAAAGCTGGCAGAAATTTTGTATTATAAAATGTTGGAGACTGTAATGGTTCAGGAAACACGAAGACTTCATGGAATGGACATGTCAGTAAGTAAATCTACTCTCAGCTACAGGCAAGAACCAAATGCCCTAGTCTGGAAACAGTGTTTTGAGAGACCCTAAAGGGATGTGGGGTCAACAGTTTATAGCAAAGTTGACCAAGATAACATTGCAATTCTGACTTTAATTGACTTTGGCATATCTGGGGCTAGCTAGGTGTAGGCAGAAATGTGAAATATGTAAAATTTATTTTTGAAGTACCGTCAGCAGTCTTTTCCTGTAGGTCCTTTAAAGTCCTTTTTATTTTTGTACTTCATTCTCAACTAGTGATAATGAACCCCACACACATACACATTCTGTTAAGCTAACTGATAATTGAAGTATTTATTTGTCCATATCTCCCAGAGATTTTTTGATTATAAAATGGTGGTATTTTTCCTTTAAAAAAAAAAAAAAAAGACTTGGTTTTCTTTGAACATCTGACAAGTCTGACCACTCTGTCCAGTAGTTTCATAAAAGAATTTTGCTACAATTGGGCACAGTGATACATGCCTATAATTCCAACAACTTAGGACGCTGAGGCAGGAGGATCATAAGTTCAAGACTAGTCTCAACAATTTAGGAAGACCATTAGCAATTTATGGAGACCCTGTTTCAAAATAAAATAAAATAAAAAATGAAAGGGCTGGGCGCGATGGTGCATGCCTGTAATCTCAGTGGCTCAGGAGGCTGAGGCAGGAGGATCATGAGTTCAAAGCCTGCCTCAGAAAAGCAAGGCACTAAGCAACTCATGTCTCTAAATAAAATACAAAAAAGGGCAGTGCCCCTGAGTTCAATCCCTGGTACCAAAAAAAAAAAAAAAAAAAAGAATGACTTGGGTTAAATCCCCATTACCAAGGAAGAAAAAAATAGAAGTAAAAAACCATGAAAACATATTAGGTCTTAAACTCAATGGTGAAAGAGAACTTTATCTTCTCTGTGAAATATTTCCTCTTCTGAACTTTTTTGTCTTAGCTTTTGTGTCGTTTCACCTTCCATTTCAGTGTTTTGATTAATAAATACTCTGCTGATAAAACAATTAACTGTTATTAAAAAGAAAAAGAAACAATCCTAATGCTTTTATTTTGATGGAAATATTAAATATTTTATTATTTTTTCAGATTTCAAATCAGATTATTATGTGCACCTCATTTAGATTTAAGATCTGTCATTGAACAAAATTTGATATAAGAGGGTCTGGGGTTGTAGCTCAGTGGTAGAGCGCTTGCCTAGCATGTGTGAGGCACTGGGTTCGATTCTCAGCACCACATACAAATAAATAAAAATAAAGGTCCATCAACAACTGAAAAATATTTTTTTTTAAATTAGATATAAGAAAACTAGTTTGGGAACTCAGTTTTTGTTTTTGTTTTTTAATGCAGTGCTGGGGATTGAATCCTGGGCCTCAAACGTGCTAGGCTCTACCACTGAGATATACCACCAGCCCAAGAATTCTGATTTTTATCTCTAATATGCTAGCATAATATATTTTGTTGTTATAGTTTTAGGATGACAGAGACTAAAATTGCTGAGAAATGTTAAGCTGTGGTCTTTTTCTTCCCCAAGGTTCTTTTAGAACAGGATATATTTCATCGTTCTTTGATGGCTTGTTGTTTGGAAATTGTGCTGTTTGCTTACAGCTCACCTCGTACTTTTCCTTGGATTATTGAAGTTCTCGATTTGCAGCCATTTTATTTTTATAAGGTGAGATAATAGCAAAGTTCTTTTATAGTGTGGCACACATAAATGTTGTATTTGTCTTAGTGCTAAAGAAACACAGTTGTGATTTCTGGAAAATATTTCTAGAGGTGTTCTAAAGCTTTTAGAGTGGAATGAGAACAAACTGGAGAGAATGAGGATATAAGTAAATTAAGCCAATTTCATAACTTCAGTTCTTTTTTCATCACTGCTTGCAAATGTGACCTGGTACTAAGTACTTAACCTCAAAGTTTCCATATTTATAAATGAAAATCATAATCCTATTAATCAAGTAATGCAATGAAGAATAAAAAATTCTTTCTCCTAGAGGAAGGCAGCAAAGGTCTAAAGTTGATTATGGTGGACTGGGGGTGTAGCTCAGTGGTAGAATAGTTGCCTAGCATGCACAGGACCCTGGGGTTGATCCCCAGCACTGTGAAAAAGAAAAAAGGATAAAAGGGGCCGGAAACCAAGTAAAACAGATTGTGAAGTTGTAACAACAGGTCAGGGGCTGGGGATGTGGCTCAAGCGGTAGCACGCTCGCCTAAAATGCGTGGGGCGCTGGGTTTGATCCTCAGCACCACATAAAAAATAAAATAAAGATGTTGTGTCCACCTAAAACTAAAAAATAAATATTAAAAAAATTAAAAAAAAATAACAGGTCAGGCTTATTCCCTAAAGTTGAGCTAATTCTGTGTGAGTGAGTCTTACTTACTCTACCCTTTTTATTTTCTCTATGAGGAGTATTAGAAAAAAAGAAACCTTCTCCAGAAAGCTTTTTTGCTTTAGAACTATTAGAAAATATTAACATTTCTCTTATAAAGTATGTCATAGCTACTGAGCTATGTCATCATAGTAACGATTAATGATATCTCATTTTCAAATTTAGGACTAATGATACTTGATATGTTTATTGGCATGATTTAGTTAATATTTAGTCATCTGTGCTACTTTCAAACTATTAATGATAAAAAAAATTAGTTTGAAGAGTTACATATGTGTGTGAGAGAGTGTGTGTGTAGCCAGGGATCAACCCCGGAGCCTTTTGCACATGCTAAGGCAAGAGCTTTATCACCAAACTACATCTCTAGCACAGGAGTTAACATTTTGTACCTAAAGTTTGCTCGAATCAGTTAGAGTTGTAGAAAATGTACATCATGGGTAAGCTTATCTGGTTGAATTATTGACTGTGATTAAGAGTTTAAGGTTCTTAGGGGAAATTGGTTCTGATGCTATACTTACTTTCATGTGCATATTCAGATTTTTCCATTAGGAAATTTAGTTTTCCCCATAACCTGAGAGCGGTTTGTTTATGTTTTGTTTTGTTTTTCTGATGCTGGGGATTGAATACAGGCCCTTGAGTACTGTACCACTGAGCCATCTGTCAACCCAACAATTTGTTTTAATTTGTAACATTCGCATTTCATTTAAGAAACTAAAGCCTTTGATTCCCCTCCCCCCAGGACTCTGTGTGTGTGTGTGTGGGGGGGGTGATTGGGATCAAATCCAAGGCCTCATGCATGGTAGGCAAGTGTTGTACCACTGAGTTACACCCGCAGCCCTCAAACCTTTGTTTTTGTTTTTTTCCAATAAATAATTATATGCTTGTTGAAGAAAAACAGAAAATACACATAAATGTGAATATTAAAATCACATTATAATCTAGTTATTAGTTATAATAACTATTAATATTTTTTGTCTATACACAGATTTGTTCTAGCTATTTTCCCTTATTAAAATATAACTATAGGGCTGGGGCTGGGGCCTAGTGGTAGAGCACTTGACTAGCATGTATGAGGCACTGGGTTTGATTCTTAGCACCGCGTATGAATAAATGAATAAAATGAAGGTCCATCAGCAATTTAAAAATAAAATAGAATATAGTGTATATAAGTAAAGAAGTTCCTTTTTTTTTTTTTAAAGCAGGCCTTCTAAGTTCACTTTATTTTTCATGTGTAAAAACTATACATTTTAGTCATAGCTATCTATAGCCTGAGTCTTCTGCAAAGAGACTCTGGTGTGGATTTTTATAAAATGGTCAGTGAACTCCTGATAGGGATACTTGGTGAACACATTCTCTTTCCAGGGGACAGGGTTCAGATGCTGTAGGTATTGGCAGTGAGAAGGCAGCCTTGGTGAAGGTGCCCAGGGTGTCCGCACAGACCCTGACTGAGACATAGCTGTTGTCAGTTCCAGCCTTCAGCAGTAGCTTCTTGGGCACATGGGCTGATGGGATGCCAGTGCCTCTGGTGCCTAGTGGTGGAGCACTGGGTGCAGGGATGAGGTGTACCAGCATAGAACCACAAAAGCCTGTCATCTTGCAAGGAACAATGTGAGGATGGTAATCTTGTTTCCCCCGCATGCCCCATTGATGCCTCCTTAAGCCACTTAATACCCAGACTGACATGGCCATTGTAGTCCCCGTGGACCAATGCATTGAACCTGAGCCTGCTTTTGTACCAGCATCACCTCTAAAACCTCATCCTTGAGGGAAATTCTCCCTAGAAAAAGTCAGTGAACTCTGATTTCTTAATGGATAGAAAGATAGATCTCAAGGGATTTGACCTTTATGTCCTTGACCAGACAGCCCAGCTTGCCTCCACAAACTTCCTGACCCTGACCCACCTGCCATGGTCTCCCATTATAGGGCTTCTGGGTCCCCTCCCTGAACCAAAGTCATTTACCATATGGTATTTGCTTGGATAGTTCATTCCTTCTGTTCTTTTGAGATATTGGGAAGAATAATCTGTGAAGGGACAATAAACTAAAAATTAGAACTGAAGTGGAAACCCAAGACCTAACTTCTACTGTTAGACTTTTGACCAGTTTTTGTAAGACATGAAAAAACAGAAATGTATGTGAAAATTTTTTTATTAAAGACTGCCAAAGTTTCTTTGTAGAAGAAGTGCTTGCAAGCCCAAACCAGAACTGATTGCTTGAAACCACATTGCCTTCTCAACTTTCTCCTCTCCAGGTTATTGAGGTGGTGATCCGCTCAGAGGAGGGACTCTCCAGGGACATGGTAAAACACCTAAACAGCATTGAAGAACAGATTTTGGAGAGTTTAGCATGGAGTCATAATTCTACACTATGGGAGACTCTCCAGGCTTCTGCAAACAAAGTTCCTACCTGTGAAGAAGTGAGTCAGGGCAAGGTTAATACTCCCTCCCCATCATTTAAAAGAAATTACAGGTTTATTGAGGTATATTTCTATACCATACAACTCACCAATTTAAAGTGTACAGTGGTTTTTTGCATGTAGATATGTGCAGCCATCACCACAGTCAATTTGAGAACATATTCATCACTTCAGTAAGAAACCTATACCTTTTAGCTATCACTTCCTGTCCTGCTACCTTCTCTCTAACCAAAGCAATGCTGCTCTGCTCTCTGTTTCTATAATACACATTTGGATATCCTGTACATTTCATATAAATTGATTCATACAATGTGTCCTTGGTTACCGGTTTCTTGTTATATTCTTAAAGTTCATCCATCATGTAGCATATATCAATATTTCATTTCCTTTTTTGTCAAATAATATTCTGTTATATGGATATGCCATTCTTCATTCATCCATTTGGTTGTTTCTATCTTTTGGCTCTTATTAATTATGCTGCTGTGAACATTCAGGCACAAGATTTTATGTGGGCATTATTTCATTTTTCTTGGTTGTATATCTACAAGTGGAATTGTTGGATTATGTGGTAACTGTTCAAGCTTTTGGAGAACTGTCAGACTGGTTTCTAAAGTGGCTACAACAATTTTGTTCCCATCATCAGTGTGCAAAGATTACAATTGCTTCACATCCCTGCCCATGCTTGTTAGTATTTGTGTTTCTTTTTTTAAATATTTTTAGTTGTAGATGGACAAGATACCTTTGTTTTATTTATTTGATTATTTTTATATGGTGCTGAGGATCAAACCCAGTGCCTCATACATGCTAGGCACTGGGTGCTCTACTACTGAGCTACAACCCCAGCCCAGTATCTGTGTTTCTAGTTATAGCCTTCTTATGAATTGGTATTTCATTGTGGTTTTGATTTGCATTTCCTGCAAAACTTATCTCCCATTCTCTAGGTTGACTTTTCACTTTCTTAATATGGTTATCTATTGGAACACAAACATTTTTCATTTTTTTATACCTTTATTTAATTAATTTATTTATTTTTATGTGGTTCTGAGGATTGAACCCAGGACCTTGCACATGCAAGGTGAGCACTCTACTGCTGAGCCATAACCCCAGCCCCACATTTTTCATTTTGATGATGCCCAATTTATCTGTTTTTTTTCCTGTATTGCTTGTGTTTTTAGTGTCATATCTAGGAAACCAATTAATCTCATCATTTAAAATTTTTCAAATGTTGAAAATTTTCATTAGTGATATTTAGAATTAAAAAATCAAAAGTTTGTGCCAAAAGTTCTATGAAATCGGGGCTGGGGATGTGGTTCAAGCGGTAGCGCACTCGCCTGACATGCGTGCGGCCCGGACGCAAAGATGTTGTGTCCGCCGAAAACTAAAAAATAAATATTAAAAAAAAATTCTCTCCCTCTCACTTTCTCTCTCTCTCTCTCTCTCTTTAAAAAAAAAAAAAAGTTCTATGAAATCACATGACAGCTCCAATTTATATGAAAAGGAGTTTTTCCTTCCATCTCTGTTATTCTTTTGTAATTCTCATCTTTTGATCCCTCTTTGCTTTTCTGTGTCTCCTTTTACTTCACTAAACGTCTTGATTCTTTCCTAATCCAAACTAATGGAAGAAGGATCCAAGACCAGGAAGAAATGAAGATAAGATAGTTTCTTGAAATTTCTCTTTCAGCTAGGCATGATGGAAGTCACTTGTAATCCTAGTGATTCAGGAGGCTGAACCATATTTCCAGCCCTTTCTATTTTTTATTTTGAGACATGATTTTACTGAGTTGCTTAGGGCCTCACTTAGATGCTGAGACTGGCCTCAAGCTTGTGATCCTCCTGCCTTGACCTCCCAAGCTGCTGGAGTTACAAACATGAGCCATTGGTACTTCTTTGCCTCTTGCAGGAAACTATGATTAATTGGTCAACTTTTGATATTCATCAGTATATGTCCATTAGAAAGTGAAAAAAGAAAAGCTGTGAACTTAAAGGAAACATACTTGGATTAAAGCCATTCCTCTTATTACTTAGTTTGATTATGGGCAGATTTCACATTCTGAATCTCAATTGTCTCATCCCTAAATAAAAGATGAGAGTGTCTACTTCATAGGTTTACTCACAGTAGCCATTAGTTTACATAGATAAATTTTAAAATTCAAACAAACTCATACTTAATGTTAATTGAGCACTTTATGAAAGTTGTTACATTTTGTAAAGAAATAAGGAAAGGGAAATAAAACAGTAAAAAGAAGTTCAAGAAAACTTTTTTCTATGATTAATCAGTGGGTTTGGGTTTATCTGTATATAAGGCAAAGGGTTTTTGTTTTCTACAGGTTATATTCCCAAATAACTTTGAAACAGGAAATGGAGGAAATGTACAAGGACATCTTCCCATGATGCCAATGTCTCCTATAATGCATCCAAGAGTCAAGGAAGTTCGGACTGACAGTGGAAGTCTTCGAAGAGGTAGGTTCAGCATTGGTAAAATACTGGAAAAATTACAAAGATCATTTTTGTCAGAGAAAAGTTCAAGTCTTGATAGTATGTAATTCAGAAATCTAGTTTATTTTGGGGGGAAGATGGGTTAGGGTAACAGGGATTGGACTCAGGAGCACTCAACCACTAAACCATATCCCAAGCCCTATTGTATTTTATTTAGAAACAGAGTCTCACTGAGCTGCATAGTGCCTCACCATTGCTGAGGCTGGCTTTGAACTCAAAATCCTCCTGCCTCAGCCTCCTAAGCCCCTGGGATTACAGGCGTGCACCACTATGCCCAGCAAAAATCTAGTTTCTTCATCAGGATTTGAGAAGCGCCCTAGTGCTTCTAACATCTTTATGATGTTATTTTTTTAATATTATAGTAAAGTAAAGGTTTTTTTATGATCTTTTTTTTTCTTTTAATATTGTTTAAGTTGTCAGTAGAACTTTATTTCACTTATTGATAACGCAGTGCTAAGAATTGAACCTAGTGCCTCATCTGCTAGGCAAGCGCTCTGCCACTGAGACACAACCCCAGCCCTAAAATAAAAGGGTTTCTAATCTGATTTTTTAAAAACATTTTTTAAGTTGTAGATGGATACTATACCTTTATTATTATTTTTTAATATTTATGTGGTACTGAGGATCGAACCCAGTGCCTCACACATGCTAGGCAAGCACTCTACTAATGAGCCACAACCCCAGCCCTAATCTGATTTTGAATATGATCTTTTTTAAAAAATTTCAGAAAAAAAAGAAAACAGAAAAAAAATTTAAAAAAAAATAAAATATTTCAGTATCTGCTGAGCACAGATATTGCAATTTTTAAATTTCAGGCACATGCCTATAGTCCCAAAAATGAAAGAGTCTAAGGCAGGAGAATCTCAGGTTCAAGGCCAGCCTTGGCAACTTGGTGAGACCCTGAATCAAAATAAAACTTTTCTTAAAAAAAAACTTGGGGGGCTGGAGTTGTAGCTCAGTGGTAGAGAACTTGCCTCGCACACATAAGGCCCTGGGTTCGATCCTCAGCAGCACATAAAAAAATAAACAAAATAAAAATAAAGATAAAAAAAAAAATAAGACTGGGAGTGTAGCTCAGTGGTAGAGCACCCCTGGATTCAGTCTCCACTACCACAAAAAATAAGTGCAATACACTATAATATAATTGTAGTATTAATTATTGTAGAAGTAATATTTTGGACTTTTAATAAACATATATGACTTTTCCTAAAGTCATATAAAATAAATCATAAAGTCATAAAAAATGCTAATGGGAAAGTTTTTAAATAAACTCATACCTACTTTTCCAGATTTGACAAAAGTTATATTCTTCCTTTGTCTATATATGTTTCTGTAGAAAGATAAATATTTAAGCAAAACTACTCATATTCTCTTTAGGATGCTTAAGTTCATCTAATAAATGATTTATCTCTTAAAAATGTTCCTTTTGAGCCTTACCAATGGAGAGATTTTAGTACATTCTTTATCATTTTCTTTTGTGACATAGCAAACTAACATGTGCATCTTTTGGATTATTACTGTTTAATTTTTTGAAAATGGGTTAAGGAAATCTGTCCCCACAGTATCTCTGAACAAATCTCAGAAGAACAAGTATTCAGATTACATAGAAGGTACATCTACATTCACTTTTGGACTGTCATATGTGTATCTGGAGTCCAGTTTACATGCTGTGTAGGATGTTAAAAATGTTCATGCTATAGGGCTGGGGTCGTGGCTCAGTGGTAGAGTGCTTGCCTAGCACATGTGAGGCACTGGGTTTGATCCCTAGCACCACATAAAAAAATACTAAATAAGGGCTGGAGTGGTGGCTCAGTAGTAGAGCACTGGCCTGGCTATGTGAGGCCCTGGGTATGATCCTTAGCACACATATAAATAAATAAATTAATTAATTAAAAGATCCATTTACAACTAAAAAATATTTTTTAAAAAAACTGAACAAGGAGGCTGGGGATGTGGCTCAAGCGGTAGCGCGCTCGCCTGGCATGCGTGCGACCCGGGTTCGATCCTCAGCACCACATACCAACAAAGATGTTGTGTCCGTGGAGAACTAAAAAATAAATATTAAAAATTCTCTCTCTCTCTCTC